AGAAAAGTGTAGGGTAGAGGTTTTGAAAACTCAGTTGAGGCTCGAAAGGTAAAATTTTGGTGAAAATAAATTATTATAGAATTTCCCGTAAACAGAGGTTTTTCGAGAAATTATTGGGAAAATGAAGGAAATTAATTATTTAAATTAGTTAAATGCCTCAATAAATTTGGGAGATTGATGTAAAATTCATATAAATGTTTATTTGAACTTATAAAATTAGTTTTAGGCCTTGGAAACTAAGAAATTAATTTTAGGGAATTTATTTTCCCACAATGACATCGATAGAGGCCTAATCAGAGAAAATTCAAAATAAATACCTAGAGGTGGTGAAAAATTCTGAAACTTTCCAGATCATATTCTCATATTAAAAGGTAGATTATCATGGAGAGAAATGAATTTTTGAACCTCTAGAAAAATTATGAAATGTTACTAGTGAATCGTAACTGATAAAGTTTCTAATTGGTTTGAGGTAGTGATTTGATTTGTGGGCCAGCCCAAACCATTTGTGGGGCCCACAGTGGATGCAAGAAGGGCCCAAATTCGTGTACTTTTCAGATTCTATTATTTTTATTAAATAAAAAGTGAAGATCAAGAGAAAATGCTTGGAAAAATCTAGTGCAAGGCCACATGTTCAAATCTGATCATTCCCACGCTTGATGGCTGCCACCTACACCCTCGAGGCGTCCCTTAATTCGGCCAAATCAGGAGGGAGAGGGCAGATGGATTTTTTCTATATATACCCCTTAGAAAAAACATGAAAATGTTGGAAAATTGGGAAAAATAAGGGGAAACTCTGTCACTGTTCATCTAGCCACCTTGCACGAAATTCTTGAGGAATTTTAGGCAAGAAATCATCCAACAAATACCAAGAAAACACTAAGGTGTGTCCAAGCATCAATATCCCTAATTTTTACATTGATTGAACAAGGATTTTTGTTTGGGAAAATGCTGAAAAATTCTGAAAAATTTGGTTCATATGTGTGATGCTTAGGAAAGAATAGAAACCTTAAAAATTAAGTGGTGTATAGATTGATTTTTGGAAGAAAACCAAGTTAAGGTTATGATGCATCATTTCGGTCAGCACTGTTCATAGGGAAGGAGTTTTTTTAATCGATTTGATGATTCCAATGGCTTTAAAACATGTTTTTGTGTAGGGATATATTGTTTGAAAGTGTTTAAAATCATTGGAATCAAAAATGAAATTTTTGGAAAATTAAGGACCCCTATTCGACCAAACCAGGTTCATGAGGAAAGAGTGTGATTTTCAAAAATATGATTGCACCATTGGATTCCTCAAAAAAAATTGTGTAGGATTGAGTCATAAGATGACTGATTCTAAAGAAGGAATCAATTTGTTAAAAATCAAAGAGAAAGGGGGAAATTGTTAAGTTAATGTCAAAGTGTTAGAATCAAGTTGTTTTGTGATTAATATGGCCTATGTTTATGCTTGGTTTAATAGGCATTGAGAGGAGGAATTAAGGAGAATCATTGCTCCTTGGAGGAATTAATTGGACAAACTTTGCAAAGGTAGCTTTGAATTATAATTTGATTGTTTATCTTGCTTGTTTGTTGTGATTGTTGTTGCTTGGATTGGAGGAACTTTGTGGTGACCTTGATTGTTTGATTGAGATTGGTTATTCTTTGGTCAAATGCTTTGCAGTATGTCAATGTAGATAATATGATGTTTCTCTCATTGCATGATATTTGATATGAATTCCTATGAGTTGGAAATGGTTTGGATTACATGACATTTCACAGTTAAACTTGTATTGATTTACATGATAATTATAATTCATATGTTACTGAGATTTCTCTAAAATCTCATTCCTCCCATGTTATTTTATGTACCAATTAGGAAGTGGACTAAGCATTGATCAAGGGAAGGATTTGGCCTTGGAATGAATGGGTTTTGTAGATGTTGTGCCATGTTGGAAACTTTTGCAATGTATAATGAACTTTACATGGATTTTGTAATAAGTTATGGATGTCATTTTGATGTAAATTATATTGTTATTCCATGTTCGAATGTTGGAATTATACTTGATGCATTGTGGAAAGAATGTGGATGAAGGAAAAAGAAGAAATAAATCAAGAAAATAGAAATTAGGGGATAAAATCTCCCTAAAAAGTGCCAAACTTGTCGCACATAAACTAATAAGCAATTGTTGGAGTCTGGGCATGAAATTTTTCAGGCAAATAGATCTCATTTTTAGGTTTAAAACAAGTAGTAATTCATTAAATTTGAAGTTGTATGTTAAAAGTTATGCGCTTTCAAATTTGGGCAAAAATACTGAAAATTCAAAATTTTACCAAATGAACAGTATCCTTTGATGAATTTCCTGAAATTATTTTGGATGGAATTGGATCTGATGATTATTTGTCCTCTATAAAACTCTTAGCAAGCTTCGTGTGAAAATTGAAACCAGTTCATTTTGATTTTTCTAGATGTAGTTATGAATTTTCAAATTTTACCTATTTTTAGATGAAGAGTGTACGGATAAGATAAACAGTAAAATCATGAATTTTAAATTTTTTATTCGGACGTGTTATGAAACAACTTATATTGGTTCTAATTGACGTTTAATGGTCATAAAATGAGGTGTGACACCATTCTACCAAATAGGACGACTAAGTCAACATGGAAGAAATGAATAAATCATAACTGAAAATAATTTCTTATTATTGATTACTTAATCAATTCATTAAGTCATTAATTCATTATTCATTATTCATTAATAGTTAACAACTTTTATTAAATTTAATTAGATTTATCTAAATTCAATTTTTAAATAGTGAGGACACAAATAAAATAAATATGAACAACTATGACAATATGACAATGAAAGGACAACTATAACACAATAAATGATAAGAATCTAAATGTAAATAGAAACTTAACTTTAAGCATTGACATACCTGAGAGAACAGAAGTTGCACAAAATAGGAAACTCTCATTCATTGCATGAAAGACCTTTTATGATAACAATTACTTCACATATTTGACCAATAAATGAAAAGCTATAAAAAATACAACTCATATGAAAACATTAAACAAAAAAAAGATAGAACCCTAGAGTACACATAGTCGTTGTCACAGAATAAGTTACCTATAAATCACCCTATTGGATGAACAAAGACCTACCTAACTCAACATCAAAACAAATGAAACATCAGCTAGAAAGAACAGTCAAAATTGCATCCGCCTTTCTTAACATGACAAAAGATTAATAAGAAAAGATAGGAGATATACTTCACATGAAATATCTGTTGGTTTCTGCAGATATCCAACAACATCATTTAAGGACAAAGAACTCATAAAAGCCATATGAGAGGAAGTATTTGCACAATAGTCAATCCACACTTCTTCAGATTTAATAAAATTAGCAAAACTTTCCATTGACTAGGTCAACACAATGTACATCTTGCATAGTTTGAAGTTTGCTTGAAGCGAAAGAAATGTTTCAACCTGCAGGATGATAAATGATGTACTACTAACAACAAAACAAATACATAAAACTTCATACATAATATGAGAAAGGGATCAAGCATCGAACATTGTTGTTCTTTTATTGCGGAATTGAATATAAACAGAGCGGGAAAAAATACTATATGGGATATTGCAAAGTAGGAAAAACTTAAAGCAATTATTGTTTCCTTCTATTTATAATCTTTAACACTACATAAAAATGAATCACAATAAAAAATTCTATCAACCATTGATACCACATGACTAAATAAATAATCAACTTTATACAAGAAATAGTAACAATAAATCACATTTGGTAAACTTGACAATATATCTAATAAACTAATATGACAAAATTACTTGGTAAGTATAAAACTTGAGAAAAATATGCTAGCTAGCAAATGCAAACCTTGCTTCATGGTTAAATAAAGTTTAATATAATGAATCTCACATAGACTAAGATAATAAATTACAACCATAATAAACGTGGTCAAAAAAGGTTTAGTCTTGGGAGAAAACAACACTCTCAATCAAAGACTCCCTTATTGTGAATGATAACTATAATATATAGAAAATCCTCCATTTCTCAAGAAGAGCAAACATACTTTCACCTTTGACATCAAATTTTTCCAAATACATTTGGCCATAAGAATAAACAACTGAACCAAGGGTAGCTGTAGGCACATAGATTAGTGTAAATAAAATATAGTTATATAGGTAGACAAAGTGTAACAAAAAGGGTAACAAAAAAATATAGAGGTACCAATATCCAATGCCCACATACCTTAAACATATAAAAGGTAATAGCTTATATACAAATTAGACCACTAAAAGCAACCCACTGATCTTGGAGATAACTTTTTGTAATGCTAGCAAATACTATCAAAATCAAATTACAGACCAAGGCATGACAAATAACGTTCTGTAATCCTAGCAAATACTATCAAAATCAAATTATAGACCAAGGCATGACAAGTTCACCTCAATGTTACAGATGAAACCATCTAGTCCAAACTTAACCAAGGAAAGTTCACTTCACAATCTAAATGCAACTAAACCCGATATTATCTTACCTTAATGACCAATAGTTACTTTAACTTCTATTTAAACCAAAATAGCCCATATGCTTAGAACTTTGCTTATTATTGACCCAAAAAAAAAAGAACACTGCTATTAATAACACAAACACTCAGCTATCTACATCATTACTATCCCCCAACAACTACTTGTGACCTTATAAAGATAACAACCAAATTCACCTACCTAACAAATATTACCTTCTTCTCAGTCTAGTCTCATTAGAACAAAAAATCATGTCTCAACCCTCACCATCACTTGTGGTCCTCTTATTGTAGTACAAAGATTCAATGAGATAAATTCCACAGTTAATATTTGCGTGGCCGAAAGAGGAAAAGTGATCACTGGCACGTACAGATGGTATGATTCAAGGTATTTTCTATTTAGGTGCCTCTACAATTTAATTCGCCTATATGATTTCGACAACACAGATTGAGACCTTGCAGATGATCACCATTTACTGTACACCAACTACTACTATGACATCATCTGCTCGTACTACAATTACATACACGTGAAGGTACCGAACAACCCTCAACAACCTTTTCTTGTTCATAATCTCTAGAACCACACATACACAAAGATACAGCTACACAAGAAACATCATCAAACCATGATTTCATTGCGTCAACCAAACAGATCAATGATGATGGATGCTGAAGAAGAATATGAAGTCGTCAAACTACCATGTCTAGAGGAATTATGGCTTCATTTAGGATTTGTGGTTAGAAAGTAATCTTGAGGAAAAATCCCTTAATGAGCACATCCATCTAGCAACCTATTACCTTATTATTAGCAAGTAGGTTATTACATTATCTCTCACAAAAAATCTCTGTTGGTATCTTATTAGTATTTAGATGATTATATTATCTCTGACAAAAAATCTATGTTGTTATATTGTGATATTATAATTTATATGGTGTATTGAAAGATAAATGGAGCTTCATTTTTGGTACTTTTATTAGGTTCATTACAATTAGGAGTTATTTACAGTATACCATTCAAGTATCATACTTCATTCAGTTACTAAATATATGTATCTACTATTCTGGTGATGCTTCATTTTTATTTCACTTCAACAAAATTAAATCCCTATACCTAGCAATAATCTTTTTAAAAGGACACAACTAATTCTGAACATAACATAATAATCCATACAAAAAATCAGATCTTGCTGCCAAAAATCCCCTAATTAGCACATCCATCTAGCAACCTATTACCTTATTATTAGCATTTCGGTTATTACATTATCTCTCAATAAAAATCTCCGTTGGTATCTTATGATACTATTACTACTACTACTATTACTGCTACTACTGCTGCTACTGCTGCAACTGCTACTACTCCTACCACTACCACTACTACTATCACCACCACAGCCACTACCACCACCACCACCACCACTATGACCACTACCACTACCATTACCACTACTACCACCACCACCACTATGACTACTACTACCACTACCACTACTACTATGACTACCACTACCACTACCATTACCACTACTACCACCACCACCACTATGACTACTACTACCACTACCACTACTACTATGACTACTACTACCATGACTACTACCACTACTACCACCACTACCACTACCACTACCACTACTACCACTACTACCACCACCATTATCACCACCACCACTACTACTACTACTACAACCACCACCACCACTACTACTACGACTACAACCACCACCACCACTACTACTACCACTACTATGACTATTACCACCACTTCTATTACTACCACTACTATGACTACTACCACCACCACCACCACTGCTACTACTACAACCACCACTACCACTACTACGACAACTACCATTGCTACGACCACTACCACTACTACCACCATTGCTGCCACCACCACTACTACCACCACCACCACCACCACTACTACCACTACCACGACCACCACTACTCCTACTACTATCTCTCACAAAAAATCTGTGCCGTTATCTTGTGATATAATTTATATGGCATATTGAAAGATAAATGAAGCTTTATTTTTGGTACTTTTATTAGGTTCATTATAATTAGGAGTTATTTACAGTCTACTATTTAAGTATTGTACCTCATCCAGTCACTAGATATATGTATCTACTATTTCATTGATGCTTCATTTTTACTTCACTTCAACAAAATTAAATCCCTATACCTGGCAATAATCTTTTTAAAAAGACACAACTAATTCTAAATGAAACACTATGTTTCTTGTTGTAAAAATATGAAACCATATTTACAAGTATATTTGTTAGATAACAAAATATCCAATTATTTCTCTTACTAAATGATAGATTCCAAATAAATAGATTCCACATAAAGAAGAGAAAATAGACAAAAAAATTAAAATTAATAAATAGATCCCACATAAAGAATGGAAAATAGACAATCCTATTTTTCTAACATATTAGACCAAATTGCTAAGATAGATGTATTGTGTAATTTAGTCAAAATTTATACTTTTCCGTTGTTGTAAAATACATATTTATAAATTATAAAATATGAATAAATATTTTCCACATACACTAACTTGAATGAGACACTAATTTTCTTACTGAACAAAAATGAAACCAATGTTATAGATAAATGTTACAGATATACTAATTTGATAACAAATTTGTTATTACACTTACTATTTAAAATTAATGTAAATAAATATATTCCACATGATATTATCAAATTACATTTGTCCAAATATACTTCACACTTTTCTAGATGACTCTTTTATTGTTTCTCTTTACTAAAGGTCCATGATTTCTGACATTAAGTTGCAAATATAGAATACAAGGGAGATGGGGTCCCCTTGTCTTAAACCACACTTTGGGATAAGTTTGTGGATTGTTCTTCCTTCTACTCTCAAATCAAACTCCACAATAGAGACACATTTCATAACTTGTTTGATCCAAATAGGCTAAAAATTCATTTTGTGAAGGATAGCTTCCAAGAAATTCCATTCTACCCTATCGTAGGCTTTATTCATGTCAAGTTTAACAGTAACTTCATGCACATTAATTTTCTATTATTAAGGAAGTGGAAAGCCTCATGCACAATAAAAACGTTGTCTTGAATCATTCTACCAGGAACAAAAGCACGTTGCTATTAAGAGATGACTTTTTTTAGAATGGGTTTAACTCTATTGGCAAGCAGTTTAGCGAACACTTTATAACTGAAGTTACACAAGCTAATAGTTTGAAAATGACCAACAGATTCAGAAGAGTCAGTCTTACGAATTAACACCAAATTGGTAGAGTTTAGGTTTTGTAAATCAACATCATTCTCAAATAACTTTCTAACCAACTGACAAATCTGGGGGCCTATGATTTCCCAAGAGTGGTGGTAAAAGAGACCAAGAAAACCGTCAGGGCCAAGTGCTTTTAAGCCCCCAAAATCAAAGCTGCCCTTTTTATTTCCTCATCTAAAATAGAAGTCATTAAACCTAAATTATCAGCTTCAGAAACCACAGTTTTCACATAGGAAAGGACATGATTAAAGTTGCGAGGTCTAGAACTAGCAAACAGATTCTCATAAAAATTGAAAAAACAAGAGTTAATCTCTAATTGGTCATCAATCCAATTTCCAACGTCATTTTTTAGGCAAACCACTTTGTTTCTTCTTCTGTGTTGGGCTATAATATTGTGAAAAAGCCTAGAGTTTTCGTCCCCCCAATTTAGCCAATTAATTCTAGAGTATTGAAACCAGTATTTTTCTTCCCTCCCCTAAATGGCCTTAATTTGGTTAGCTAACTCACTAGCTTTACTTGCAGAATTCTCATTCCATACCCCTTCATAACAATTCTTAAAGTCTTCCATAAGGGTTACAAGGAGTTTTTGGTTGTTAGGAAATTCAATCTTACTCCATTTAGTCAGGATTTTCCTTATTCTGTTCAGATTTGAATTAAAAGCATGAACCATACCAATAGTCACCTGCTTATCCCTATTCCAATTTGACTCAATAAGCCCCTGTAATCTTTATGCTTAATCCAGTTCAATTCAAAACAAAATTCTTTTGGGCCTTTTACACCAGAAAAATTCACATGCAGAAGGATTGGCGAGTGATTAGAGCCTAAAGGTTCTAGATTACATACTTGAGCATTTTGATGCTTCTCTCTCCAAAAAATGTTGCAAACTGCGCAATCTAGTCTTTCTTTCACATTTGCCTCATTAAGTCTCATGTTTGACCATGTGAAAGCCAAGCCTTTGGCCCCTAAATCCTCCATGTCACATAGAGTCATAAAGTTCTGAAATTCAGCCAATGAGCTTAAGTCTCTGGTATTCCTCCATTCTTTTTCAAAATCAAGTAGCAAGTCATTAAAATCTCCACAGCATAACCAAGGTACAACGTTCCCAGAATTAAGGTTCTTTAGTTTTCCCCACCAATTTCTTCGATCTTGCTCTTTAGGAGGACTATAAATTAAAGTTAGAAAACCAGATTCCATCTCTAAACCTTTGAGAACCTTCAAGTGGATCATGTTTCTCTCTGACTTGCCAACTACAACTGTAGATCATCATTCCACCACATTGCTAAGCCACCCCCATTCCCACTGGTTCCACATAAATCTTATTCTGAAAATTTAATCTCCTGCGCCATCGCTCAACTTTTTCCATATTGACTCTAGTTTCCATCATAAAAACTAGAGAAGGTCAAAATTTAGAACACAGGAATCATAGGTTCTTTCCTGTCAGGGACAATCCCAATCCCTGACAGTTCCAGCTCAAAATAGTCATGGCAACTTGCTGGCCATTTAAGGCTGACCACCAAGCCCTATTGTAGTCAAATCACAGCCTGAATCTTGTTTTTCTATCCCTTTAAAAAATATTAGTAGGAATTACTTCCAACACTAGAACTTCTATCAAATTACCCTCATTCGTCTCAACAGATTTCTTACCTTTTTTTCTTTCTTGTCTTTGAAGGTGAGTTCCTACCTATAACAAATGGTTTCTCATTTTCTTTGTTCTGAAATAATTCCGTAGCTTTCTCAAATCGATCTACAACTTCAACCCTTGCTTTTTTTGATATTGATGACCCCCAAGTTCATCTAAAGCTCTTTTTAGGCTAACCTTTTCCATCTTTTTTACTAGACTCCCTTTATAGGTTATCTATGGTAGGCCCTGCTTTGGCATGTTAATATTCCTTTCCTTGCTATCCTCAGGCAATTCAACAATATACGGCACACTAGTTGCTGGCCTGTAGGATTTAACATCCGTAATGGTTGCTCCCATATTAGTATTGCATTCTTTTCTATCAACAAAATCTTTTCTAGCTCCTACAGTAAGTTTCAAGACCTTTTTGGGCTCTACAGGCTTTGGTTCATTTATTTTTGAAGGCCTATTGTTGAATAAGGCCCTTCTGCAATCCTTTAAAGTGGGTTCCATTCTTGCTTTTCCTTTTTGCATATCTTTTAGTGGCCTATTTACTTCATCCATCTCCAAATCCAATATTAGCCCATTGTCATCATCAATTTTCCCCTCAGCAGATTTACCAATTTGGCTATTCACACTCCCCACACCTTCCTACCAAGTAGATTGCTTTTCCCCTATCATCCCTATACTATTATCACGACCATAGCTCACATTTACACCAGCAACATTCACACTCCTTTTTGAAGATGAGGATTCACGTGCTGTCCCCATCTGCACCAAGTCGCATTCACCCTCTCAAATCATGATTATCGGCGCCACTGCCCTTAATGAATTCACCCTTAACTCTGTAGTATACATTGGTTGAGATGGGTCCTTCTCTGACTCGACTTTATGGTGCTCACAGATCCTGTGCTCATGCCCAACTTTCCCATAGTTATAACAGAAATTTTGGAGTTTTTCAAATCTAGTGTATGCCCATACCTTGTCCAGGTTAGGGCACAATACCCAGAATCCTGCTACTAGAGGCTTTGACAAAATCCACTTCAATTCTAATACGAACAAAGCTATAGATATGGCGGTCATCCGGTCTTGGATCTTAGAAATAGACAACCTCACCAATTCTACTTCCCATCTTGACAATATTCTTCTTGGTCATTTTTGCCAAATCGATATCTAAGATTAAGACATGGTAATCCAAACAATGTGTTTTAATGCTAAGTGCTCAAATGCGAGATACTCGCGTCTATTTCTTTCAAAACTTTCACACATGAAAGGCATCTTTGGACTGTGGGTAGAAAAAAATAATTTATTTTTAATTAGATTTTTAAAAAAGTTAAATTAAGTAATATGATTTATATTTAGGTTTGTTTGTTTTTAATAAATAAGCAAGTTTGTAGAAATAAAAGTTGTTTGGATCATTATTAAATAAGCAAGTTTATCTTATAAAATAATAAAAAAGGGATATGACTTTTATTAAATACTCCATCCAATCCTTAATATAAGAATTAGTTGATTAATTTAAGTAGATTAAGAAAGCTAATTAAATTAGTTATTTACAATAAATAGGTATTGTTTTTCCTAAAATATCTTTATTAATCAAGTATATTGGCTAAAACTATTATTATTACAAGGACTATCTTGAAAAAAAAAATGAATAAATATAAGTAACAAAATGAATTGGGGATTTGAAGTCTTATATTTAGTACTAAAATAAAATTAAAAAAAAACACATATATTAAGGATCAAATGTAATATATCTTAATGAGAAGCTCACTAGGAACTGTGGAAACCAATATAACGATTAAGTATACCATATCACAACATCAAGCTGTTTATATATTTTTCTAGAAGATATGTGAATATTTACATATAACAGTTCAAGCAGAACGAGAGAGAGAGAGAAAAAACAAAAGGATAAATTGGAGGCATGCATAGATCAAAAGCGAACAACACATACAGAATCTGGAAAGTAATCAAGTTGACAAAAGAAATTGGAAGCGTAGAAAATGAAAATAATTGCTTGGTGCTTGTAAGGTCATAAAGCTTGCCCCTGTTTTTGTAATAGAAAAACGGAGTAACTTTGAGGCATCGATGGAACAAATGCAATATGGCTATAGTTACTGCTTTTCAAATTTTTTCGCAAAGCACATATTGTCAAGCCGAGAAAGGCTAATTGGACAATTAAGAATCTCTTGAAAATCATATACCCAAGTTTCTATTTTATTAAGTATTATCCCCAAAGGTGTTTCTTAAAACAAATCTATTTACTCCTTTTATTAATAACATCATTCGAGGAAAATCTTCCTCTGGGCAACATTAGCAGTAGCGTTCAGTTGAAATACTTACTAAACCAATACCAGGCTTTCTTTTCATTAGCAGCTAACCTACAATTAGTATCCAGAGAGTTGCCCAAAAACAATGTGCCCTTAACGAGTGAAAATAAATAGTAAGCCAATGAAGATAAAAGACCGAACAATTTTTTTATCGACTGAGGAAGAAGTAGACATAGCGAGCTCAAGCACTGAAACTTCCAAACAGCAATAATGTGGGGCATTGAAGGGGAAGATGTTGAGGAATGAGCAAAGAAGTGGAATGAGGTAAAAAGAGATGCTTCGGACTTTCTAATTGAGATATTTAACAGTGTTAGCCCTTATTTAACAGTAGGGATTAAGATATGTAAGGGTGAAAAGTTTAAGGAGACAATAAAAGAGGGGAAAAGCGGATGAGATGATAATAAAAAATGAAAAAAATTATCAATGGACATAATGTAATAGTTTTCAATTATTTTAATAGGATTTTTATTTAATGAATAAAATATATTTAAATTAAAAATTATAATATTGTGAATTTTTAAACAAAATAATATTATATAATCAATTAGATTATAAACTATGTACGATTTATGTAAATATAAAACGAAAAATAATTTTAAAAATTAACCCAAACTACTCATTTAAATCATTAATAAATCTTAACAACATCCAAAACAGACAAAAATAACAATTTGCAGTAGTGTCACAACTTAGGCCTCAAACATCCAACATACCCACAATTAAAAATAAAGCTTTTACCCAACAATTCATACGGATTAAACACCCCATTTAACTAATATATAAACATAACTCAATTATTGAACAACATTTTAAACCTTACATTATGATCTTCACTAAAAAAACTGATCTTCCTTAAAAACAACCCCATATAACGATAAACCTAACTCCAATATTTACAAAAATTAATAAATAGAATAAAACTAAGCTGATTGAACACATACTTTAGTCAATATAACTCATTTATACCCAAAATATTCAATCAAATCATCATCCATTATAAAATTCATCATAAAACCCTTAGTTTCTCAAACTTAAAAATCTGAAAATCCAAAAGAAAATAGTAGAATCAAGTTACAAACACTTATGTTAGTGTTTGGAAGCCCCAAAATCAAAAATGAAAAGCCCTAGGAGCTAGAAAATCACACCCCTACTTACTCCTCTTTTTTGTTTTTATGTTTTAATTTGCGTCAATAGAATTTATAAAATCGCATGTTCAGCATGGTAAATGACACAATATAGGTGTTGTTCATGATTTTGTGACATTGATCATGACAAACATGCAGTTTTATTGTAGCAAACAACACAATAAGAAAACTGTACTATTGAACTATGCTTGCCGTGGTGAATGAAACAAAACAGAACTCCCCAAAACACTCCTTAAATTCATCCTTAAAGCTTCTAAACCTCAATCAACAATAAGAAAGCCTTAATTACCTCAAACCCCAATCAAATCATGACTTAACAACAAACCTTAAGATTGAAAATCAAGACGTTACAGTTTTTCCTTTTCAATTGGACTGTTCTTATCAGTACTCTTTGTTGTATTGTATTATGATTAGATACATTGAGGCTATATTCTATATTGGATTAGTTAGTGGGTCATTTCTCTGTTTGTTTTCTTGATTCATTTATGTTCGATGGTACAAGATGTTGTGCATTTTAAATCTTTATGGGTTTAAAGACTCGGTTATATACAGATATATTTGGTAATTATTTGATGCATATTAGGTATTCTCAAATGCAAACAAAAACCTAAACATAGACTTTGGTTTTTGGTGGTGTTAGGAAAATTTTTAGCATTCGCTTAGAGGGTCTCTAAGTCTTGTATGACCTAATATAAACTTAAAGGGTGTTTGGCAACTTTGCATAAACGACTTTTGGAACCCAAACCATAATTTAAGTTAAAAAGTATCCAAACACCCCACATTTTTTTAAGCCATGATTAGACTCGAAAATTATGGTTTAGCCCACTATAGTTTCACTTTAAGAGAAAAATTTCACTTCCTAAGGGGTTAAATGTGTGGTTGTCGCATAATTATGAGTGTCAGGGTAAAGCCAATGGTGAGCGTCCAAAAATATCCTTCAACGAAAATAAAAAACTTCACCTTTTCTCCTTCCTCATTCTACCTTTCTTTCTCACTTTCTTTCACTTTCTCTCTGCTTTTTATTTCCTGTTTTTTTTCTATACTGTAACATGTTGTTAGAAAATAAACTAGTCGCTCAAATGATGATATATTATGACACTTGATTATTTAATCTCATACTTTTATACACTT